CCGTGGCTGCTGTCGAGGACGCCGTCGACGAGCCCGGGGGCGACGGCTCCACCCCGCCCACCACGCCGTACGAGTCCGCGTCGGCGTCGCCTGCTGCTGCTGCTGCTGCTGCTGCTGCTGCAGCGGGGGTCAGCTGCTCGCGGGCTGCGGCGGAGGGGGCCCCCTCCAGCACGGCTGCCTCCGGCTCCACGCCGACGCCCAGGGGGCCCCCCACCTCGCCAGCCCGCGCGGGCGCGGGCCCCAGCAGCAGCAGCGCGCAGAAAAGCCCTGCTGCTGCTGCTGCAGCAAACCCCAGCAGCAGCCCGCGCGCGCCCCGAACGCGCACGCAGCGCCCGCCCCGGGGGCCCCCGGGGGGCCCCCGGGGGGCCCCCCCCACAGCCCCTGCCGCCGCGAACCCCACAAGCGGCATTGCGCCGGGCCCGCTGCTCTCCGGCGGCGCCTGCAGCGAGCTGCTGCTGCTGCTGCTGCTGCTTCCGCTGCCGGGATCGCTCGATCCCGCCAAGCGCCCGCCAAATGGAAGACTCAGCAAACCCCCAAGAAGCTGCCAGTGGGGCGCGCAAATGCAAACAGCAAAAGAGAGTGGGGGCCCTCCAGAGCGAAGCCAGGAGGAAAACGGGGGCCCCAGAGCATCTGTGGCTGCTGCGCTGCAGCTGCACTGCCACTGCGGCGCTGCTGCTGCTGCTGCGGAGAGTGCGAGGCCCCTTCTTGGATGCACGGAGGGGCCCCCTGTTTTCGCGTTTGTTCTTTACAGCTACAACGGCACGAAAGCTGCTGAATCCTGAACGGTGAGCAGCAGCAGCAGCAGCGGCAGCCGCGGCAGCAGCAGCAGCACCGCCAGCAGCAGCAGCGCAGCCGCAGGGAGCGCCGCTGTACCGAATCCGTCGATCTTTCACTACCCGCTTGTTGCCTTCGCAGCAAAGCAAAAGCAGCAGCAGCAGACAATAAAGCTCTTCAAACTTTATTTTTAACTTCAAACAACCTTAAATATTCAACTTTGCCCGCTGCCCTTTACTGCGGAAATGTGGACGCCACTCACCAGCACAGAGCCCCTGTTACCTCACGCGCAGCGGCTGCTGCTGCTGGTGCTGCTGCTGCTGCTGCTGCTGCTCATCGCGCCCCACTTTCCCTCTGTTTTTCGGTCCTTTTGCCCTTGATTCAAGTTTATTTCCATTAATCATATTTCTACGTCTAAGGCCTAAATTTTTTCAGCAGCTCGATAGCAGTAAGTAGCAGCGGCGGCAGGAGCAGCAGCACAGCAGCAGCAGCAGCAGCAGCAGCCGTGCTACGGGCTGGCTTAGAGAGCTGCTGGTCTTCTTCGCTCGTCCTTCTCCTCCTCCGAGACTTTTAAATTATAATTTAATTTTGTTATTTCAATTAAACAATTAATAACACTTTTAAATCCCTCGCTACTCTGAGACTCTTGGTAGCAGCCGGCGCGCGCGCAGCCTCAGTGCCTCGGCAGGAGCGAATCGAGTGAAGGTGATCCGTCCCCAGTTAACGCAGCAAACTCCATGTTTCGTTCTTTATTATAATTTTAAATTCAAAAGCATTCTTAATAATGGTATTTAGCCTTTTAACTTCCGCGCCGCGCGCCCCACACGCGGAGGAAGGCACTTCTACACAGCCGGCCCTAGAAGGCCATGGCAGTGCAAAACCTAGAGTTTATTTGGTCTTTTTGCACTAATTTTATTTTATCCACTGAGTTTTCAGGGCCTCTGCAAGGCCTCACAATGAGGGCCAACCCAGCAGAGCAGCAGCAGCGGCCGTGGAACTCGCCCAGCCCGCTCGGGGTCTCTGAAGTTCAGAAAAGCTGCACAGAAACTGGTCTCTAGGAAGGCCCTAGCACTCTACAACTGTTACCTGCTGTCTCCTTTGTCTTTGGCAAACTAAGCTGAGGCCCCTGGGCCCGCAGTTGGGGCCCCTAGGCCCCTTTCTTGAGGCTGAAGGGCCCCCTGTAGTACACTGGCTTCTGTGTAGCGTCTACGATGCTGCACGACCCACGACTCTGGCGCTCTATGAAATCTTCTCTTCTCTACGGACGCATCGGTCTCGCAACGTCTGCTAAATAATTACAAGACCATTTATTTCGAGTTCTCAAAACCATATTTCATTTAAGTCACTTCTCATCGTTCTTGCTTTGCTGGTCCGGTGAGGATGTGACGCACACCGGTGCCGGCGCTTTCGGCAGCCCCAATCTTTGGGCATTTGCAGGCATTTCTAGTCTACACAGGCTAATTTGTTAATAAATTGCTTTTCTATTCCACTAGTAAGAGGTTACAACGCTCAATCCGCGTCTCAACCTCTTAACCGCTTATAGGTCATCAGTTAGCTATCCTCTATAGGTCACCAGCAAGCCCTATTGTAGTGCCTGCGCTCTACACCTGGTGAGGAGCACGGGAGATCTGGGCAAGTTTACCGTGAGGGAATCAGCCCCCAAAGGCTGCAGAAGCAGCTAAGGGAGTTTTTAATAAGAGGCATGTAAGCCTAAACATAAGCAAATAAGTCTGCGTAGGCACCGCGAGGAAACGTTGAGGCCTTCCCGACAGACGCAAGCAAATCTGATCCATTTTGGGGAACGTTAACAGCACCTAAAGCACTGAGAGTGGCCAAACCTTCTTTACTGCAAAGCCCTGGTTTGTGGCTTAGAGTTTCTCTGTAGCTGCAGCACACACGTTCCGAAATCGCGAACAGAGTTTAGTCATATTTACCTTCACTTAGAATTTTTAGAGAACATGTTTTAGCTGTCAATTATGATCTCCAGAGATTTCCGGGTGTTAGACTGAAACGTATCGAAACAGCCGGTTTGAATAAGAAATATACCAACCGAGCACAGCTCGGCTCACTCAAAATTGGAGCTCTTCCAATAGGGTTTTTTGGAAACTCAATTCTCTTCTAAAACTACATCTGAAGCATTCATCAATCATGCATGCGTGGCAAGAGTCAGACAAACGCATGCAACTATACAACACTGGAATATTTGTGTTGGAAACTTGGAGCGGGCTAGGTTTGCTGAAGATAACAAGTCATGCGAACACGAAAGTGAATAGTTCCGAACATCCCAGCAGCTAGCACGGGAGAATGTCTTGGGCTGGCCCAACTTGAGGTTCAGCTCCGCAGATAAAGAACGCGATGAGCGGGCTTTGAAACGAAGCCACACAAGCAGTTATTGCATTATAATAGGCTTCGCTGCACGGAGCCCTGTGTCGCACTGAGCTAGAGGAAACCCTTTCTCCAAATCCAGTTGGTGGGATACTTTGAAGTCATTCTGCCTCACAGAGCTGTCTTCGCTACGTTTTGATACGTCTCCAAGACGTTTACCCTGCGGCAAAAGATTGCTGCTATCCTCATATTCACTTTTCGCACATAAGAGTGCATTAAGAGTATGATGCAGCAGGATGGTCACTCAAAATATGTTCTAGAGAACAACATAAATCGGGGTCATTTGTCAGCAAAGGCTTGCAGAAGACGACGCTAGGGATGATCGAACATCAAGAGAGTTCTCTTTTAATCGTTGGGGCACGGGATACTCACCCAGGCAGAGTCTTTAGCCTACAAAAAGGTATAGTGGAACAAGGAAACTTATGGGGGAGTTACCCTTCGGCCACAAGTTTTCACTGCTGATGATTCTAGTGGGAGATTATCCGCTTCGTACTCCTCAATGGCAGCTATGAAACGCAATCTAGGCCTACTGCCCTGTGTGCTGCGGAAGACGAACGCGCGAGGCACCACACATATACAAAATGTCTTATGTATAGACTCTCGATAGGCGCCATGAAAACCTCCATACAGTGAGGATCATTTTTTCAATACAGCAGGAGCGAATGAAAGGAGTGAGCTAATGGGTCGCCCCCAAAGTGGTGCTGTCTAGTCGAGGTGCCACGGCTAGAGAGAATAGGGGGCAATCAACAAGCAGGCACACTGAGAATATCCACAGAGCAAAAAGCCCAGTTTCGGCTGAATCTCTTATAGCTCTTCTTGCCCTGGTGTAGAGATTTGCAGTATGAAGAGGGCGCTAGTGAACGCCGACACATGGTACAGGACGGCATTTATCCTAGCACTGGTCATGCGCATGAAACATAGCTATACAGAAGTATTTCTTGCTGTTTCATCAGTCTTGTTGCCGTGGATTGAGTATGGCAGAGAGTGCTGCGCCGATCGAGGCAGTGCTTGTTCATTGTGCCTAGTGACGAGAGATCGCAGTTGTGCCGCATCCCCTCAAGACCACGACTGTGGTACTATCGTGAATATTTTACTGTAAAATACCCTTTAAAGCATCTTCCCTGTAATCTAGTTTTGGAACTGGATTGCCCCACTCGAAGAAGTGGGCTGTTATATGAAGCAGGACAAGAGAAGAACCAATTATCAAGGTGGTTGATGAGATGCAGTCTCAGCGCCCACGAAGTAAAAGCAAAAAAAAATACTGCAGGCTGGCAGAAGCGCAACTCGAGACCTTACCACGAAAAGCATACAACTGTTTAACGCAGCAGTTATCATGGTTGTCAGCGGAAAAGGCGGCGATACTTTATGAGCATCTCATTAGCTTTACGAGTTTGGTGAAGAAGGGAAGGCGAAATTGCAAGTCAATTAGATGCCAGGGCACGACTCCGCGAAAATCGGATGACCGCCATGATCCACCGCAAGACCTTAGTGTTGCGAAGCCGTTACCGGAATCAAACGTAAGGGCTGCGCTGTAAGTCTGCGAAGTGCGCAGGGACCTTTAGCATATCCACTTTTCGTGCAC